ATGAGTCAACCCACACATAGACTCCGTCCGGCCTCCATTTACATTACCCCATGATTCTTTTTCACGATAGCAAATATAGCCAACCGTGCTTCGGTATCCACCTATATCTCGCAGGTGACAGAAAATCACCCGACTTCTACCGGTCTAAGCATGGCTAAGCATATATTCGATCCTGAACCTACACAGGGTTAAATGGATATGTATCTGGACAAGATAGTTCCATGCATCAAGTGTTTTCAATCAACTCTTATAACCTAATGCATCAAACATGAAGGACTTCAGTAGTATTTTGTAAAACAATGGGAGACTCAGAATGTTTCGGGACTTAGAATGCTCTAGGCACTCAGGGAGCTCTTCGGGAGTCTGCTCCTCTTCTCCTGGAGCTGCGGCTTGGGGTGTCTCCTGCTGATCCCCTTCCTCTTCTTCGTTGAATTCCAACAATATTATCTTCTCGGTTGATCCTATATGCATGAGCATGGTATAAGATATCACGAATGCATATGTGATGACACGTATAATATGATGAGAGAATTCCCTGGTTGCCATCAAAACTTATAACGATTCCTTAGTTGCCATTAAAAATTATAGCATTCCTTAACTGCCATCGATTTGTAGTTTTTGATTCCTTCGTTGCCATTACCGTTACGTATGTGAGTTTTGTTCCCTTAACTGCCATCTATTTAGATAATTTCCTCCTTAATTGCCACTGAGCGGACGGAATCAGGGAACGGCGTGAGCCGTGTTCGACGCTCGACGTAGTCCGCTGCTACCACGCTCTTGTCCATCCTCTGTGCCGTCCCATCTCCCGTGCGAGCGCTTAGGTGCGCCTGTGACAAGTGCCAGGGAAAGGGAGGGATCCGTCTCTATTACAACAGCGCCATCTTGGGCGCCGTCAGCCTGGTGTCGGCGTGTCGCAGAGCCTCTCACCGTCTGGCACCGCGTCACCTCCTCCACCGGCAGCGAGTCAAGCAGCCCTCCGCTCTGGGGAGCTCCTGGAACCACGCCTGCAAGTACGCGTATGTACATCAGCATTCAGCACATCAGATGCAACAATGCAACGGTTGTACGTACGTGCACACGGTCTACATACCTTGATGAGGCCTGCAAGCCGCAAGGCAGTGCTCGTCGATGCCGTGCACTGGTATGTGCTCTGTAGGCTGCAGTAGAGCAGCAGTATACCGCCCTGCCAGCCTGCTTGCCTCTCGCAGCGGAGCAGCCCCGCGCGCGATGTGCGCTGCCGTGCTGGCCGCCTGCCGTCGCGGAGCCGCGATGTCGCGCTCGCGCGAGTGGAACGTCACTTGCGCCACAACACACGTCCGTTGGCCACCCGATCTCCATTATCTCGCCGCCGTCGTCACCACGCGGACAAGAGCGCGGCGGCAGCGGACGACGTCGAGCGTGGAACGCGGTTCCGTCCGCTCAGTGGCAATTAAGGAGGCAAATTATCTAAATAGATGGCAGTTAAGGGAACAAAACTCACATACGTAACGGTAATGGCAACGAAGGAATCAAAAACTACAAATCGATGGCAGTTAAGGAATGCTATAATTTTTAATGGCAACTAAGGAATCGTTATAAGTTTTGATGGCAACCAGGGAATTCTCTCTAATATGATATAACGTGATGAACGTAATAACAAGTGCATCATATTCTACTGAGTAGATGCATATCTCTTCTCTACTACTTAAGCAAACACTTCGGTAAATTATTTTCTGGACTATAAGACAGCAACTACTTGTTTTGACCCTAACTAGAGTTATGTACATCGAAATAATATGGTTGTGGACATTATAGAAAGCTTATGAAATTTTCTACAACTTTCTTTTAATACTCTTAATGTGATTCAATAGTTATCTAGGTCAAACAATTCAGTTATTCAAATCTGTCCAGAAAGTAAACATTTCGGACAGCAAACTTCTAACAGCCAAAACTCTTAAACCCTAAGGCCTATGACTATGAAAATTTAGCACAAGGTAGATCAGTAAGTTATCTACAACTTTATTATTAACAAGTTTTACAGACAAGACCATCATCAACATAAAATTATCCACTCAACCGAAACTATACATGCAACCATTTATTTGAATTATAGAGCAATAATTGATTAGTTGCATATAACCAATTATTTTTAAGCGTTACTATTAACATCCACAGTTCATATGTATCACAAGCACCATAGAAAACCTCATGGTCAAGCATAATTTATTTATTTACATGACTTTTTTAATTTAATTAGATAATTAAGTGAAATAACAAACATATACTAAATGTGCACAATAAATTCTCATAAAATTACAGTGACTTCCTAGTGCTCACAGTAGACTACTTTGAAAATTTTATACCATTTGAACATGTATAACATCCTCTACAAAATGACAAGCTAGCAAGATTTATTTTAGTAAAAATAGTTAACCCTATAGAAAAGTGTCAAACAACAGATTATATATTTTTCTCAGCTTCCTACTAGTGCTATAATACTGTTTAAAAATTTGCATGGCAATATGTTACTTATTTTTATCTGTATAATTTTTCTCGTAAAACACCATTTATTAATATATAAATAGAATGGCGGCGGCCGCTTCCGCGGCAGCACGGGATGGGGAACCTCGCGGCAGATCGGGCAGGACGTCCTCGGCCCAGTGCGAAGCCATTGGTCGATCTGGCACTTGACGCTGCCGCCGCAGTGGAACGCGTGGCTGCAGGAGAGCGTGCGGACCTTCTCGCCGGCCTCCATGCTGTCTTGGCACAGGCTGCAGGTGTAGTTCAGCTTCCGCCTCTGGGTGGTGACGCCGCCGAGCCTGAAGAGGCGCATCCGTGGCGATTGCCAACATGCCTTGACCATGAGGGTGCACACGTAAACGAAGACGACGCACACGACCACGGCGACGACGGCAAAGAAGAAGACGAACACGGCTATGGCCATCCAATAGCTGAGGTCGGCTGCCATCGGTCCTTCGCCCCCCTGATTCTTTCTTCTTCTTCTTCTCCTCTCGATCGCTCTCTCTTGCTCTTGCTCTTGCTCTGGATTTCTGGCTCGCTCTCGCACGTCGTTCTTGGATTGTGTTATGCTCGTTTGGAAGGCTGGTCAAACGGGGTGGCGGCTTTTTGTAGGGAGGATGCTGAACTGCTGATAAGTCGGTTGGCTTGATCAGTTAGTTACAAGGTGGGACCCGTGGCTCGACTCCCGAAGGCAGCTGTTGGAACTGGAAGAGCAGGGAGGGCCGAAGGGCTTGGAATGACAAGGGCAAGGATGGCTGGAGATGGAATGCTGGCAGATTCCCAAGAATGAGGGCCGAGGGGCTTGGCAATGTGCATGGACTACTCTGGACGCAGTACAATGAGCAACTCTGAAAGTGGATTCTGAATTGCATTGTCGTTCTTACACTGAAACCAGGCCTGACCAAACCAAAAACCATCACCAGTGACCCTAACAACTAAAGAGCTGCTTGAAGAGCTGGCCAGGCTAAGGAAGCGTGCGGGGGCCGGGACACACAACTGACAGGGGAAAATGCAAGTTAAATTGGACAAAATTCTACTTGCCTTTTTTTTAATTCAAATGCTACTTGCCTAAGGAGAACAGAGACCAAAGGACATTGCTCTAAACCATTTTGCAATCTCAATCTCTAAACGCAAAAGGAGAATAGCGATAGATGTAATCGTCAACAACAACTGGATCAGATTCTGTTTCAAAAAAAATGGATGCGAGATTTAAACATGAGTTAAATGTATTGTAGGTCTATTAACTTGTGTACGTGTGTCATTTGGGTCCATAAACTTTCAAAGTACAGTTTTGAGTCCCTAAACCTTTTAACTGGTCACCAAAGGTCCAAGGGCGACGCCACACTATGTTTGGGTGGTGCATAGGCACCATGCAAACAAGTCTTTAGGAAGCGTGAAACATGCCCTCTGTATCTTTGGAACAAATCAAAGCCAAAGTGAGATTCTGAATTGTGGCAAGAGCAAACAGTTTAGCAGTTTACCATCGAGAGAATTAATCAACTATTTGTTTTATTTTTCCTGCTGAAACAAGCTGTCTTTTAAACTATTCTACTGATTATGTCACAAACTGACGGAAATTTTGTGAAGAAATGAATAGGCAACAACAGAGAGCTGGTGAGTAACTCAAGCCTGACAAAACTAAGCTTTTTACTAACGAATTCTGCTGCTACTAGTACTGCACAAGGAATTGAAAAGAAGAAAAACATAATGGCAACAGGGAATTTCAAACAATATGCATGGACAGACATTAGCGAAAGATATCACAAGGAGATTCAAAGTTGAACGCAAACAGAGGTCACATCCTCCTAAAATTCGACTAATATCTGAAATCCCGGGGACACAACATCACTCGATCATGTGTTGCATAGATCCAAGGAGCTGAAGAGTAGATGATTAAACAGTTCAGTTGTCAGCAAAACGAACCTACAGATTAAACAATACAATAATCTTCAGTATGATTAAACACTGTAACATACCGGCACAGATTTTCAGAACTATTAATCATATTTTCATAAACCGAAACTACAGATTTTTATCGATCAGCAAAATGTCAAACAGTTGATTCAGCTGATTTCAAGCACTACTGTAAATTAGCGAACAATGCTATGAACAGTATTGCACATTTTCACATTGAGGCACTAAGCAATTGACAGAGTACCCAAGAAATGAACAATGTAACTGATCCAAAAACTAACAAATCATCGTTTCTTGGCATCAACAAATTTAGTTCGTCACAGCTGAACACAAATCTGAACAAAAGAGCAGGAACGCAGCTAAGCTCGATCAGTTTCAAGAAAGCGAATGCCAAAAACAACGAAGGAATCTTTCAAGAACTAATCCAGATCATCAGACAACACGCACCACCAGACTACCCTCGATGAGTTCCAAGAATGCAGAGACAGAAATGACGAAAGAATCCTTCAAGAACCTCTCCAAGAACGGATCCAGAACGCCCCACAGGACGCGTCAACACCGTCCCATCCAAGCTCGATCACGCGTGTCTACTGCGATGGCGACCCCTCTGGTAATGTTTCGTCGAACCAGTGCGACGGAAACAGCAACTCCGCCGCCTCAGAGTCCGCCTGCAGTAGTGTTTCGTCGAACCAGTGCGACGGAAACAGCAACTCCTCCGAGACCTCCTCCGAGTCCGAGTCTGACGTCTGCGGTGAAGACGGCGCTGGCGACGATGGCGGTGGCCGCTTCCACGGCAGCACGGGATGGGGAACCTGGCGGCAGATCGGGCAGGACATGTCCTCCGCAGTGAGAAACCATTCGTCGATGTCGTTCTGGCACTTGACGGTGGCGCCGTAGTGGAAAACGTGGTCGCAGGATAGCGTGCGGACCTTCTCGCCGGCCTCCATACTGTCCTGGCACATGGTGCAGTTGTAGTTCAGCTTCTGCCTCAGGGTGGTGACGCCGCCGAGCCTGAAGAGGAGCACCGGTCGCGAATGCCACCATGCCTTGACCCGGGATGATAATGACGAGAACGAAGACGCAGCTAAGCCCCAGATGATGATGGCGACATTGACGAGAACGATGACGCTCACGAACAGGATAATGGAGGCAAGGAAGACGGTGATGCTGAAGCGGACGGCCATCGGTCCTTCGCTCCGGCCCCTGACTCTTTCTTGCTTCTTGCGTCTTCTCCTCTCGCTCTCTCTTGCTCCTGCTCTGGCTTTCTCGCTCGCTCTCCCACGTCGTTCTTGGATTGTGTTGTGCTCGTTTGGAAGGCTGGCCAAATTGGGGTGGCGGCTATTTGTAGGGAGGATGTCGAACTGCAGATAAGTCGGTTGGTTTGATCAGTTCGTTACAAGGTGGGACCCGCGGCTCGACTCCCGAAGGCGGCAGTTGGAGCTGGAAGAGCAGGGAGGGCCGAGGGGCTTGGAAATGAAAAGGGCAAGGATGGCTGGAGAGATCGAATGCTGGCAGATTCCCAAGTTTGGTTTGCGAAATCTTTAGAAGTTTAATGTTTCAGAGAGAGAGTACATTGACATTGGTGAAGCCAGTAGTAACGCTGTAACGGCAACGCAATGTGCATGGACTACTCTGAACGCGGTACAATGAGCAACTCTGAAAGTTGATTCTGAATTGCATTGTCGTTACTTCTTACACTGAAACACGGCCTAACCCAACCAAGAAACATCACCAGTGACCCTAACAACTAAAGAGCTGCTTGAAGAGCTGGACAGGCTAAGGAAGCGGGCGGGGGACACACAATTGACATGGGAAAAATGCAAGTTAAATTGGACAAAATGCTGCTTGTTTAAGGGGAACAGGAACTGGGGATCTCGACAGAGAAAAATTTACAAGAACACCAGGCTTAGATGACTTTAGCATGAATGGGTCTCAACTGAAAAGGCCTGGGGAGGCACTAGAACACCATGTGATGAAAGAGATCAACTCCTCTTCGTGGCTTGCGCCTCAATCTGCCTGGAGAATTCTGAACTGCTAGGTAACTCAAGCCTGACAGAACTAAGCTTTTTTACTAATGAATTCTGCTTCTACTAGTACTGCACAAGGAATTGAAAATAAGAAAAACATAATGGCAACAGGGAATTTCAAACAATATGCATGAACAGACATTAGCGAAAGATATCACAAGGAGATTCAGAGTTGAACGCAAACAGAGCTCACATCCACCTAAAATTCGACTAATATCTGAAATCGACTTTCATAAAAAATATCTGAAATCCACGGGGAAAACACAACATCACTCGATCATGTGTTGCATACATCCAAGTACCTGAAGAGTAGGTGATTAAACAGTTCAGTTATCAGAAAAACGAACCTACAGATCAAACAATACAGCAATCTTCAGTATGTTAACTAATCTACTGCCACCTTGTGTGAATACAGCAGAGGAAGGCGGCGCCGACTTAGCCGCCTGCTGTGTGTGAACACAGCAAGGGAAGACGGCGCCGACTTTACCCCCTGCTGTGATACAGTAGCCGCTGTAGGTGCAGGCGTCGTACGGCTCACCTGCAGCACTGTAGGAACAGGCAGTGGCCGGCGCAGAGTCAGCCCTGTCAGGTTATCTAGTTACTGTGCCAGCATGGACGCTGCACATGGACTAGATAGTTAGAGTTGTATAAATAGACATGTATGGCAACTCAGTAAAGAGAGCTCAGATTTGCCATCACACAGACAGGACCTCGGCCAACGCTGTTGTCTTGTATTGTACGTGCTTGCTCTGTTCTCCCTTTTTCTTCTAAGCTCGTCCGTAGTGTGTGGGTACGGACAACGCCGGTACGTGGTCTGCACGGCTAGTGGGTGCTCGGCAACACTAGCGCGTGCTCGGTGAGACCGTCAAGTGCTCCACTCACCTGAGCCGGTGCTCGGCAAGATCGGCTGGAGTGGTTCACTATCGTGAACCGGTGATCCTGTGAGACCAACGGAGTGGTCTGGAGGCCATCTCGATGGTCGGGAGGCTAACTGTGGGCCAACAAGTGGTATCAAAGTCGTACAAACGCCGTCGTCATTCTAACCGATGGCGATGACAGGTGGTTCGGAGTTGGGCGACGGCAGTGGCACTGTCGTGGCTGCCCAGCCACTACCGGATGTAGTTGTTCGCACGGTGCGGGAGGTCAGCGGCACCACTTGGCCGACGCTGACTCGCACTAACTATAGAGAGTGGTCGGTGACCATGAAGGTCAAGCTCAGAGCCCGACGGCTTTGGAATGCTGTTGACAAGGGCACCGCCGTGGAAGAAGACGACATGTCAGCGTTGGAGGCTATCCTCGCTGCTGTACCGGCGGAGTACAGGGAACCATTGGGGACGAAAGGCTCAGCTAAGGAGGCGTGGGAGGCCATTGCGGCGATGCGCGTCGGTTCCGACCGTGCAAAGAAGGCGACGGCCCAACTTCTGAAGCAGGAGTACGCAAACTTCAAGTTCAAGTATGGTAAAACAGTGGAGGATTTTTCCCTCCGCCTGCAGACGCTCATTAGCAAGCTGAAGAGCCACGGCGTCACCATCGACGAATAGGAGGCGGTCTCCAAGTTCCTCCACTCCGTGCTGGCAAAGTACATCCAGATCGCTCTCTCCATAGAGACGATGCTGGACTTGTCCACCCTCACCATTGAGGATGTGGCAGGCCGTCTACGGGCGGTGGACGAGCGCCTGGGGCAGGCGACAGCAACAAAGGACAGCGGGAAACTCCTGCTGACGGAAGAGGAGTGGGCTGCTCCACGAAACTCCAGGAAGGCAGCCTCCTCCAGTCGCGGTGGCAAGGTTAAGCACCGAGACGGTGCTTCTTCGGAGAAGAAGCACATCGACTCCAACGCCTGTCGGTGTTGCGGGAAGATGGGCCATTGGGCACGGGAGTGCCCAAATCGCAAGAATGAAAAGAAGGCTCAGGCTCACCTGGCGAAAGCCGACGATGAGGATGAGGCCACTATCCTTATGGCGACGTTCTGTGCACTACACGATGTTGAGGCCATGGAGAGGGAAGAGGCGACGACGGTGGAAGGACCTGGGAAGGCCCTGAAGATCATCAACCTCGACGAACCACGCGCCCAAGTTCACCTCGGGCGTGTGGGCACCGACCAGGAGCAGCGGTGGTATCTAGACTCTGGTGCCAGTAACCACATAACGGGCTCCAAGGACTCCTTCTCCGAGCTCAACGGCGATGTTACCGGTACGGTGAAGTTTGGTGACGGCTCAAGGGTGGCTATCCAAGGGCGCGGCACCATCATCTTCAGATGCCAGAACGGGGAGCACCGCGCGCTAACGGATGTATACTACATCCCGCAGCTGCGTTCCAGCATCATCAGCATTGGCCAGCTTGATGAGCGCGGTAGCGAGGTTCTGATCAAGGATGGCGTTCTGAGGATCAGAGACCGGGGACAGCGACTTCTCGCCAAGGTGAAGAGGTCCCTGAACCGGTTGTACCTGCTCGACCTGAAGGTAGAGCAGCCGGTTTGCCTGGCGGCAAGGCACTCCGAGGAACCATGGATGTGGCATGCCCGGTTCGGACATCTCAGCTTTGACACGCTTGGTCGGGTTGGGAAGATGGTCCGAGGGCTACCCCACATCAAACACGGAGGCGAGCTATGTGACAGCTGTCTGGCCAGGAAGCAGAGGAGGCTACCTTTCCCAAAGACGGCCAAGTATCGCGCGAAGGAAGCTCTCGAGCTAGTTCACGGCGACCTCTACGGGCCGATCTCGCCTGCTACATGCGGTGGTCGGCGGTACTTCCTCCTACTCGTGGACGATTGCAGTCGCTATATGTGGCTACAACTCCTGACGAGCAAGGACGAAGTGGCGGTGGCGATCAAGAAGTTCAAGACACGCGCGGAGGCCGAGAGCGGCAAGAAGCTCCGCGTACTGAGGACTGATCGGGGTGGTGAATTCACTTCGGTGGAGTTTGCTACGTACTGCGCGGATCAGGGTGTGGGACAACATCACACCGCGCCGTACTCGCCACAACAGAATGGCATGGTGGAGCGACGGAACCAGACAGTGGTCGGCATGACTCGATCCATGATGAAGGCCGAAGGGATGCCGGCAAAATTCTGGGGAGAGGCGGTGACCACGGCGGTGTTCATCCTCAACCGCACTCCAACCAAGGCCCTAACGGGCAAGACGACGTTCGAAGCTTGGTACGGGAGCAAGCCAAACATGTCATTCCTCCGGACATTCGGTTGCATCGGCCACGTCAGGAAGACGAAGCTGAACCTCACCAAGCTAGAGGACAGGAGCACACCCATGGTGTTCCTGGGCTACACGGAGGGTACCAAGGCATACCGGCTCTATGACCCACGCGAAGACAAGGTGATTGTCTCGCGCGACGTTGTGTTCAACGAGGAGGCGGCTTGGGACTGGAACAGTCCGAGCACGGGGGAAGCAGGAGGCTTCCACAACACCTTCGTCGTCGAGCACTTGGTCATCCACGGCGATGGAGACGCTGCGGAACAGGTGCCACGCACTCTGGGAGGAGCACCGAGCACTCCGGCGGTAGAGTCGAGCACTTCTGGGGGAGTGCCGAGCACTTTAGGAGGGATGCCGAGCACTCCGGGAGGAGTGTCGAGCACTTTTGGAGGGATGCCGAGCACGCCAGGAGTGGAGCCAGGAGGTTCTGCAGTGGTGGTGGCCACTTTAGGACGGGTGCCGAGCACTCCCGTGGCAGAGCCAAGACGTCTTACTGTGGTCCCAACCACTCCAAAACTAAGGCTAGGCACTCCTACAGTGTGGCCGAACACTGCAGGAGTTATGACGAGCAGTCCTGAAGCAGTGTTGAGCACTTCGGGTGCTATGCAGGGCACTCCGGCGGAAGAAGGAACTCCATCACTCCCGATCGAGTTCACCTCACCTCCAAGTGACATCACTGAGTTCATGGACGCCTACCATAAAGGTGAGGAGTTGAGGTTCCGCAGACTGGACGACATCATCGGCGGCACAGGTCCCTCAGGTCTGACGGGTAGGCTGCTCAACGACGCAGAGCTGCTGCTCGACGACGCAGAGCTGCTACTCGTCAGCGCAGAGGAACCACCCACGTTAGCGCTAGCCGAGCGCGATGGAAACTAGCGACGGGCGATGCTGGAGGAGATGAAGGCGATCGACGAAAACAAGACTTGGCAGCTCATCGATCCACCTCCAGGATGCCGTCCGATCAGCCTGAAGTGGGTGTACAAAGTCAAAAGGGACGAGCTCGGCGCCATTGTCAAGCACAAGGCGCGCCTCGTCGCCTGAGGCTTTGTCCAGCGCGAGGGCATCGACTTCGAGGAGGTCTTTGCGCCAGTAGCGCGCATGGAGTCGGTCCGTTTGCTACTTGCTTTGGCGGCAGCAAAGGACTGGCGCGTCCATCACTTGGACGTTAAATCGACCTTCCTCAACGGCGAGCTGGCGGAAACGGTCTTCGTCAGACAACCTCCAGGGTTCGCTGTCAAGGGAGAGAAGCATAAGGTGCTCCGACTGCGCAAAGCGCTCTACGGGCTGCGGCAAGCCCCTCGAGCATGGAACGCCAAGCTTGACGCCACGCTGGGCGAACTTGGGTTTCAAAGGTGCGCAACCGAGCACGCGCTCTACACGCGACGACGGGGGAAGGAAGAGTTCGTGGTCGCCGTGTATGTGGATGACTTAATCGTCACCGGCGCGCGCACGGAGGATATCAACAGCTTCAAGCGAGAGATGGCAGCTCGTTTCCGAATGAGCGATCTCGGCGCTCTCTCCTACTACCTCGGCATCGAGGTGAGACAGGGGAAGGAGGAACTCACGCTCAGGCAAAGCGCGTATGCCTCCAAGCTGTTGGAGAGGAGCGGCATGGTGGAGTGCAAGCCATGCGTGACTCCGATGGAGGAGCGGCTGAAGCTGACGAAGGCCAGCACTACGGCGAAGGTGGATGCAACACTCTACCGGAGCATCGTCGGCGGTCTGCGCTACCTAGTACACACGAGGCCGGACATTGCGTTCGCCGTGGGCTACGTTAGTCGCTTCATGGAGGATCCCAGAGAGGATCACTGGGCTGCGGTGAAGCGGCTACTACGCTACGTCAAGGAGACGGTGAATCATGCAATCATCTTCCCAAAGACCGGCGGGAGTAGGCTGCAGCTCATGGTATTCAGTGATACAGACATGGCGGGGGACATCGACGGACAACGGAGCACCTCTGGCGTGCTCGTCTTCCTCGGGTCAGCCCCAATTTCATGGCTGTCACTGAAACAGAAGATGGTGGCGCTATCTATGTGCGAGGTAGAGTACGTAGCGGCGGCCATAGCGGCGTGCCAAGTTGTGTGGCTACGCCGGCTGCTGGGCGAGCTGACCGGCGTGGAAGCTCACCCACCAGCACTGATGGTGGACAACCAGCCCGCCATCGCCCTCACGAAGAATTCGGTTCTGCACGACCGAAGTAAACACATCGACGTAAAGTTCCACTTTCTCAGGGACTGTGTTGATGGAGGGCAAATCGTCATCGAGTTCATCGAAACTGCTCGGCAACTCGCAGACGTCCTCACCAAGCCGCTCGGATGACTTCGACTCACGGAGCTGAAGGAGATGATCGGCATGGAGGGGGTACAAGGGTTAGCAGTAGGATTAGGAGAAGATTGTTAGCTAATCTACTGCCACCTTGTGTGAACACAGCAGAGGAAGGCAGCGCCGACTTAGCCGCCTGTTGTGTGTGAACACAGCAAGGGAAGGCGGCGCCGACTTTGCCCCCTGCTGTGATACAGTAGCCGCTGCAGGTGCAGGCGCCGCACGGCTCACCTGCAGCACTGTAGGAACAGGAAGTGGCCGGCGTAGAGTCAGCCCTGTCAGGTTTTCTAGTTACTGTGCCAGCATGGGCGCTGCACATAGACTAGATAGTTAGAGTTGTATAAATAGATATGTATGGCAACTCAGTAAAGAGAGCTCAGATTTTGTCATCAAACAGACAGGACCTCGGCCAACGTTGTTGTCTTGTATTGTGCGTGCTTGCTCTGTTCTCCCTTCTTCTTCTAAGCTCGTCCGTAGTGTGTGGATACGGACAACGCCGGTACGTGGTCTGCACGGCTAGTGGGTGTTCGGCAACACTAGCGCGTGCTCGACGAGACCGTCAAGTGCTCCACTCGCCTGAGCCGGTGCTCGGCAAGATCGGCTGGAGTGGTTCACTGTCGTGAGCCGGTGATCCTGTGAGACCAACGGAGTGGTCTGGAGGCCATCTCAATGGTCGGGAGGCTAACTGTGGGCCAACATTAAACACTGTGACATACCGGCAGTAGCTGGAATGCAAGAAAAACGATATAAAGCAAACAAAAATTAAATAAGAACAAGAAAATAAGGTCACAGATTTTCAGAACTATTAATCATATTTTCAGAAACCGGACCTACAGATTTTTGTCAGTCAACAAAATGTCTAACAGATGATTCAGCTGATTTCAAGCACTACTGCAAGACATTAGCGAACAATGTTGTGAAAAGTTTACACTAAAAATCATTTTCACATTGAGGCACTAAGCAATTGAACAGAGTACCAGAGCAATGAACCAAGGATCTATTTGCTTCTGTCAGAACAATGTAACTGATCCAAGAACTAACAAATCATCGTTTCTTGGCATCAACAAATTCAGTTCGTCACAGCTGAACACATATCTGAACAAAAGAGCAGGAACGCAGCTAAGCTCGATCAGTTCCAAGAAAGCGAATGCCAGAAACAACGAAGGAATCTTTCAAGAACTAATCCAGGCCATCAGACAACACGCAGCACCAGACTACCCTCGATCAGTTCCAAGAATGCAGAGACAGAAACGACGAAAGAATCCTTGAAGAACCTCTCCAAGAACTGATCCAGAACGCCCCACAGGACGCGCGTCAATGCAACACCGCCCCATTGCATCCAAGCTCGATCACGCGTGTCTACTGCGATGGCGACGCCTACTCCGGTAGTGTTTCGTCGAACCAGTGCGACGGGAACAGCAACTCCTCCTCCTCCTCCGAGTCCTCCACCGAGTCCGAGTCTGACGTCTGCGGCGAAGACGGCGCTGGCGACGATGGCGGTGGCCGCTTCCACGGCAGCACGGGATGGGGAACCTGGCGGCAGATTGGGCAGGACTGCCAGGACATGGCATTCCCAGCGAGAAGCCATGCGTCGATGCCGAGCCCGCACTTGACGGTGCCGCCGCAGTGGAACACGTGGTCGCAGGAGAGCGTGCGGACCTTCTCGCCGGCCTCCATAGTGTCGCGGCACATGGTGCAGGGGTAGCCCAGCCTCCGCCTCAGGGTGGTGACGCCGCCGAGCCTGAGGAGGCGCATCCGCGGCGATCGCCACCACGCACTGAGATTGGTGGCGCACACGAAAACGATGAAGGCAACGACGACGATCACGACCAGGATGATGACGGCGAGGACGACGCCGAGCACGACGCGGACGGGGATGGTCACCAGCCAATAGCCGATGTCGGCGGCCATCGGGTCCTTCCTTCGCTCCTCTTCCCCTTCCTTGCTTCTTGCCTCTCCTCCTCTCGCTCTCTCGTGCTCTGGCTTCCTTCTTGTTCGCTCGCGATCGCTCTTGGATTGTGCGCGTGTTTGGAAGGTGGCATGGCATTGCCGTCGTCGTGGGTATTTGTAGACGAAGGGAGGCATTGGGCGGTTAGCTGATTAGTTTGTTAGAGTCGGTTAGTTACCATGTGGGCCCCAGGTCTCGATCCCCGACAGAGCGAGAGGGGGCGGGCGGAAGGGAATGCTGGACTGCGAGTAACCGGATGCAGGATGCTCATGACGTCATATGGTTAGGGAGACATACTTCATGTTCGCTCGGAAGCTAATGTAGCTTCACCCATCCTGAATTTCTGCACATTTTGTGAGCGCATTTGTTCATGTGGTAGTAGCAAAAGATCCTTTATGTATCTAGTTTTCTCATATAAACCGAACAGGCAACCAAACTAGAAAAAGGCTTGCTTTTAATCTGAAGTCTGAAGATTCTGCGGTCCATTTTCTTTTAAGCTGTAGCCTGAAGAATCTGCGGTCTAAAGTATTTAGTGCTGCGTTCGGCTGGCAAAATTCAGCTGGCTATGATTCTTTTTTTCCAGCCGCAACAGTGTTTCCCTTTCACAAAATACCAGTGGAAACAGTAAATCCGTACCAGCGTGAACAGTACTTCATCCCAACCGAACACAGCCTAGAAGTTTAGCAATCTGGATGATTGCCCATAGATTCTCATTTCTAAGTGTGAAATGACATGTATACTCCTGAGGTTGATGATAACTCATTTTTTAACTGAATACAAGCTGAAACAATTATAGTAATATTTTTTTTTTAGTTTTGTGACACTAATAGGCCTGGCAACCGGAATGGTCTATAAATCGGTTGGAGTTCCCAGCAACAATCACATAGGGCATTTTAAAAACAATCAAACACACTCATAGGAAACAACTCGACTATGCAGTCGGGTCATCGGGTGCGGTGCTGAACGCCAAGCTGCTTCTTCCTGGCCGAGATGGAGAAGTAGCCAATCGCTGTGGCAACGAAGACAGGAGCAGCTTCTTCCCGACGAAGGGGGCGACGGAGCACGATGAGGGCGACGGAGGGGAGCAGGAGGATGGCGCCGATGGGGAGAAGACAGAGGAAATAGGGGTTGGGCGCCTGTGCCGAGGGAATGCGAGCGTGGGCTCACGGTACAGAGAACACAGTAGCACTGAAACCCAGATTTACTGCGTTTGCGTAGAACTTTTAGATAGATTTCATATAGAATCCGATTTACTCTGAACAGCATGATTCTCTGTACATCACATCGTGTTGCATAGCTTGCACATAGCAGATGTTAAAACAGTCACAGCATAACCATCAGGCTGTGCTGTAACGATGTTAAACTCATGAATCCTGTGCCGAAGCTTCACTATTTAGATGATGAAACGGGAACAAATTGTTCCTTAATGATTTGTTTAGTCTCAAAACTACCTTGACCCTCTGAATGCTACACAATAATCTTATCCTGCAGGATTGTATACACCGTACAGCAAAACAAGATGCCCAAGGGGGTGAAAATCTGAGGCCTGAGGGCAACTCTAGTACAATACAACAGTAAGACCACATTCGAAGATGTCACCAAACTGTTCTCCCCCGGGTTTCAAATTTTTTTTGATATCAACTCCTCAAGTGACACGCTGGCCAAGCGCATGAGATCAGGTCATCAGGAAAGCCATTACATCAGATAATGGGCATTCCTGTAGTATCTGTTGATGTACCTAGCCTGCAGAAAACAATAGGTACAAAGTTAAATCTATTCAGTTATGCTTTAACTGAGGAATGCTTAACAGCAGCGCTGCATACCTTTTCATTGTTTACATCAGGCGTGTCTGGGGTTTTTACAGGATAAAATTTGTAAAATTTGATATTCTCGAATGCTTCTTTCATTTTAGGATCCATGTCATCGATAGCTTTCTTCCTGGCTTCTTTAGCCTACATAAGTTTGTGGAAACATTGAATACTAATGCAACAAATCTCTTGTGAATAAAATAAATAGTTCCCATGATTGTAAACCTGTTTCAGCTCTCTCTTCCTTTCTCTAACCTTCTCCTTGAGGAACTCCTATCAAATAAATGTGGCAACAAAACTGTAAGTTTAAGACACAAATGTAACCAATTCTTGAAGATTAGCTTAGCCACAGATTAAGCACAAAATAAATGCAGTACCTTGAATTTTTCTTTCTCACCCTCTGGCAGGCTACCTTCTTGAAGTTTCTGATCTGCAAAATCCTGTTAGACAAAATTGAAGCCATTCAACACGGATGCACTTTCATGGGTAGCAACTCTAGTATATTGAGCGGAACAAAACACATTTCAACACAAACCTCGTAATCATCCATTTCCCAGTCGAACTCATCTACTATCTGCAGCAAGCAGCACAAAGTAAACACAGTGATGCATGACAACAATCTACAGCTATATGAAATCAAAAACTCAAGCATAAATTAGGAGGCATCAAGTACACTAATGTTGGATGGACCAACTAATAAAATTGTTAAAGAGGAAACAATGGTGAGGCAGTGAGTAATACTCCTCACTGAAATAAATAAGGAATCTTACCGGGGGTTCTAGAGGATATAAGAAATTGATAACTGTGTCATCCTCGTCTTCAAAAGGTTGCAGGGGCATATAGTCTGCAGAGATGATAGACAAGGTTCATACAGAGATGAGGAGATTACTCAGAAAAAAGAACAAAAAACCAGATAATGCCATACATATTTAAACTAAATGACTTACAGACTTATAATTAATAATTAGTAGAATAGTTCGACGATGTGTGAATATGCAAGAACACATGTAGGGCTTATAAGGGTTCAGCTGGAATGTTAGGTTATTTCAAATGATTGCTTGTGCTGTTTTAGAAGGTGTTGACCTCAGCCACCTAGACGGTCCCTGAGCACCACCGTCCCACCTAGCTTATGATTTCTGCCTAGATTTAGGTTGTCATTGAACACTATATGCCACCTCAACGCTTTCCATTTTTATAACAAAACATGCTTGGACACTTTACAACATAACTACAAAACAAGCACAAAACTCATTACAAAAGTTGATTTCAAGCCATAAACAACACAACAATCAGCCAACTAAGTAGAGACTAAAGGGTTTAGAAGACACTATGTTTCTTTGTGGCCACGTTATTCAACTGTCATTCCAATGAATTAACTGACATAGAGATTAAGCTTACAAGGCATGCAGTAATCAAACTTCTTGACTCTCTCAATTTTGAGATGCTTCAGCGCAGACCTACAAAAGGTGTAAACCAGAGACTTTGTAATTTGAACCAGTGGTAACAACAGCAGTGCTTAAAAAAGGGAAATATAACACAACAATGGATGAGCACAAATATATAAATCCTAAAGCATGAAATTCCAGAACCATAAATTCGTATTACCAACCTTCGCTGCGTGCATCCGAGAGTGAATATTTTTGTTTTCAAACTGTCAATCCTGCTAAGCCTGCAGAGAAAGCAAAGCCAAAGCTAGAAAAATGAGTTGCAATGACTTGGGAGAACAAACAATAAGCAGCAAATATCATTCAACATGATAATACAAAAGTACCGGTCCTCAAGTGGAACATAAGGCACCCATGCCATCTTCATCGCCTTCATTGGCACGATTTCCTCGTTTTCCCTTTGGACTGAGTTTATGCCAATTTTGTCTGATGGAGGGAAAGGGCAGTCTACCTGCAAAATGAAAGAGTTCAAGTGTTAAATGAGACCCACACCACCCAGAGATAGACAGCAAAATATTTGACCCAAAAACAAATTGTTTGATCGAGCCATCATAAACTGCAAATATAAAAAGCAACACTTGTCACTGCATTTTAGAGTCAAAACACTAATGAAAAGGAAAATATCACCAGCCAAAAAAATTTATCTGGACAGCACCAATATTGTTAAAGAACAAAAATGATTTAATGTACTAAATCTGCCTACCAAAATATAGTTCCATTGGTAATATCAATGGACAAGGTAGATTAAGTTTCTTGTCTTTTTTTTACTTTCAAAATGTTTGTTGCAATTTTTAATCTTAAAGGCTGATATATTTTCAATGTTGTGCAGTTGATAGTACTAAAAAAATGGAAACAACACCCACCCACCAAAGATGGTATGAATTGTTTGCTAATGCAAAAGTACAAACAGAATTTCTTAATTGTTTAGATGGCATATCTATGACCTAGATGAGTAGATTTTCATGTCCAGCAGTTATGTGGTTTGCTTCTATGGCTAGAGGCTAGCTGGTATCCCCAGCAAATGTACGGTGAACCTTATTTGCTTTCAATAAAAGCAGAGTTATCCCGTGATAGAGAAAGAGCTAGATGTTCATCATAAGATGGTGTGGAACTACAGGGGGCATTTTCAATAGGCATGTTTCTAATAGCACGTTTTGGAACTCAAAATTGTTGAATAAATATACACAGAGGATAGCTGTCCAGCAAAGAGGGTAGACAAGAACTTACAACAACTACGACTGGAATAAGCACTATCTTTGATTCTCCATTAACATCCAATAGCTGGGCTGCATGACAACAGGAGCCAATTAGTCTTGTACTCCCTCAATTTCAAATTATAAGTCGCTTTGACTTTTTTGGTTCATCCATTTTGCTATGTATCTAGACATATTACTATATCTAGATGCATAGCAAAATGGATGTACCAAAAAAGTCAAAGCAACTTATAATTTGGAACGGAGGGGTAGAACAATATTCAGCAGGCTCATAAAACTAGTAAGCAAATGAAACATATGGCCTATACTAAAATCCAGTTTATAAATCCAGCACATAAATAGTTTTGTGCAGATAGAATTGTCGAATTTACTAAACTAATAGCTCTTCAAGATTAAATTGAGATTAAAATTAGCCAAGATAGCACTGGTGTAAAATATTACAAAGATTAACAAACATACATCAAGGACTAGTGGCAGCAAATTAATTTTAGAAAGT